GAGCAGAGGTAGCTTCATCTAAAATCAATATCTTGGGATCTTTAATCAGAGCCCTTGCAATCGCTATCCTTTGTTTTTGTCCACCTGATAGCTTGGAACCTTTGTTACCGCATTTCTTGTAAAAGCCTTTGTGAAGAGTCCCATTTTTATCCATAAAAGTTGATTATTTTAGCTTGTCATTCATAAATTAGATCTAATTTTATATTAGACTATCTCTCAGCTCTATTCTTTATTTATTTGAAGCTTCCAAGATTGATTCAACAAAAACCAACTATTAATCTTAATAATGAGAGACTTTGCATTAAAAATCTTTAACTGTGTCTAGATCAAATTAATCAGGTCTATTCTTGATACAGAATTGTATCTATTGAGCATGATCATTGAAATTTTTAATTTTAGCTAAGTATTTCTGGATCTAATCTGATTAAATTTGCCATAAAAACATTTTTAAAAATGTCTCAATTAATGTTGCATTGCTATCTATTTTATCTTATTTACTAGTCTATTTTACGGTCTAAATAAAAATGAAGATGTTTGCATTGATTAAATCTCTAAATGAGTAATCAGAAACATAGAAGATAGATTAAATTAATTTCAAATCTATTTCATCAATTTAACCTTATGATATTTGCTTTTTCAATTCTTTGATGAGTTATGGATATTAATCTACATATACTGCAACGTTTTCAAAATCAAAGTTAGTTTTTCCTTCAGCATTTTCTAAATCTTCCTCTTAATCTTATAATAAAGTATCATCTTCAATGAATTAAAGAGCGTTTGAAAGCTATGCTGCAATGTATACTTATTGATCTGTTGCTTCTGAGTTACCATATCTGATATTTTCTTTGATCGTTGTATCGAATAACATAGGTTCTTACATTACATAGCCTATCTGTCTTCTTAAACTTTAAATATTTAGCTTATTTATATCTAAACCGTCAATGAGTATTGATCCTTCACATGTGTCATACATTTTAAGCATTAAGTTTGCTATAGTGCTTTTACCACTTCCAGAATGACCAACTATTGCTACTTTCAGACCAGCTGGAATTTTAAAGCTCAAATTTTTAATGATAGCCTCTTGCCTTGAGGGATACTTGAAGTGAACATTTTTAAATTCTATCGTACCCGATTAATTTTAATCTGTTTTTTCAATGATAGTTTAATTTTATGATTACGATTCATTCGATTCAAGTATTATTTAAAAAATCTTTTCAGCAGCCTTTTTTGCCTTATTAAGAGATGGAATCTAAGAAATCAACATTCCAGACTCTAAAGCTGACATAAGCATTGTATAGATAGCAACAAATGATTCCTCTGGAGTATTATAATAGTGAACAATGTACTCAGCTGCAATCGCAAACATTAATGCAATGAATAAGAATCTAATGGATTAGGAGTATCCATACATTATTCCAGAATAATGAGATATTTTTATTGCACTCCTTTTAGGTTGCATAAGGAAATCTTGATATTTATTGATGATGAAGCCAATGTTTTTCTCTCCAAAACTTATAACTGTCTTGTAATTTATTAGGATTTCTGATATCAGACTATTAGCCTAGTCATAAGGATCTAATATCTTTTCATCTTTGATATTTGCTTTGTTTGAGTCTTAGGTTTTATTCCATACAGCAATCTAGAGGGCTACACCTCCAATTATAACTAGTGGAGAAAAGGCCAAACTAATTAAAGCTAATCTCCATGAATACAAAAAGGCAATTCCAACACCGATTAATAGGCAAAAAATGGCTTCTAAAATATTAGTGAAAGCTTCGCTTGTCAGCCCATTAAGGTTATTTACTTCTTCAGTTAAATAGCTACTCAATATTCCTGGAGCTCTCTCTTGATTATCAAACCATGAATAGTTTCTCTTCATAATATTCTTGTATAGCTTGACTCTGATGTTGCAGCTAAGATTTTCGCTTAGCTATCTATGTATACCTCTATTTAAAAAATCTGTTAAGCCTGTGGCAAAAGCTAGCGCTAGATAAGCACTACACCAGAAATTTCGCTGTTAATAAAAATCTTCTATGTAGTCTCTCGTTACTAATATAAATAGAATCTTTGCAAATATCATTCCATTAAGAGGGTAAGCAAATGCACTAAAGAAACTGGTAATAAATGAAAAGACAACTAAATAATTGGGTCCATAAAGCTTCTTTATATTGCTTATGGAACCAAAATTTTTACCATTGTTTAAATTCTTATTATTTTAGTAATATTCCTAATTGTGTTGGTTGCTTGGTAGTTATATAATATTTTAATATTCGTTGCTGCTTAATTGACTAGAATTTAAATCAATATCATTTTTTTAAAGGATTTAATTATGATCCCCTGTTGGTTAAAAGTTTATGAAATTTTATTGATCATTAGTTTGTTCATATGTTAAAACTTTTTTTTCATCTAATTTATTACTCTAATTGGAATTAAGTTTTTTCATAATTTCATCATACTCTTTAGTTCCTCTCTAGGTCTGAATTATTTTTGAATCAGAATTCATATTTTTATTAATGTAGATTAGATGTTCAGCAGTCTCAATGGTTGATTTTCTATGAGCAATTATGATTATTGTGATTCTTTAGTTTTCTAGGTATTAGTTTTCCGCTCTTTAATAATTATTTTATAAATTAAATATGGCTTGCTATACTTCTTATTCACATTTAGGATCTAAAGCACTAGTTGCTTCATCTAGGATTAGAATTTTCGGCTTCTTTACTAATGCTCGAGCTATTGCAATTCTTTATTTTTAACCCCCAGAAAGATTAAGGAGAGATGATGTTCCAACGTATGTATTTATTCCATTTTCTAGATCAAAAACAAAAGATGCATTTGCATTTTATATAGCAACTTTGATTTCATCATCTGATGCATCTTTATTGCCTAATAAGATATTATCTCTGATAGTACCTTAGAGTAAAATCGGCTCCTACTAAACATAGCCAATAGACTCTCTAATAACTTTGAGAGAGATTTTATGCAAATCTACGTTATCAAATAAAATTACACCTTAATTCGGCGAATAAAACCTCTCTAATAACTATATTAAAGTACTTTTGCCAGAGCCAGAAGGACCAACTATAACAGTCGAAGTATTTGATTAAATTTTCATATTGAGATTTTGAAGAAGATTATTCTGCTAACTTGGATAACTAAAAGATACATTATCGAAAATGATCTCTTAGAAGTCTAGCAATTTATCACAGCTCATTTTCTTATCTTCCTCTTTTTAATTATCAAATGGCTTTCTGTCTATAACATCAAATATTTATTTTCCTATGAGCTGAGCCTTAAGAATTGACTAAAGATTAGGTATTAGCTAGAAGGTCATTGAAGTGCAGTTCAAAATGCAAAATATAATTGAAAAAATCTCACCCACTGAGTAATGCTTCTAAGTATTTGGGTTTATTCTTTTTTCATCTATATAGAGAGCTGCTATCCATAGATTTATCCCATAAAATGTAAATATGACAAACTTTAATATTCCTATAAAAGCAGCTGTCCAATACTCAGCTTTGACTGATTTGTCTCTTGTAGTCTCTGCAAGCTAGGAAAACTCACTTATCTCTTTATCCTCTTATGCAAATGACATTACAACTTTTACTCCGTGTAAGGTCTCATCGATTTTCTATGTTAATTTGCTTAGCGCTCCAATTTTTTTCATCGATGCTTTTTTGACAAAAGTACCAAAAAGAACCATGATTATAAACATAGCAGGAAAAACAGAAAAAAATATAGCAGCTAGGTCACATCCTCTAATAAAAGCGATTGCTATTGCTGAGAGAAGGTTTATAGATGCAAAAATTAAAGATGAGAGCTTTTATCCAATAGACTCAGAGATCAAATTGAATTGCTCACCAATTTGAGAAGGTAAATATTGCACTTTGATATGTTCAAGGTACTCTACATCTTGACTAAGTAATGACTAGAGATATCTCATTCTTAAATCATATGATATGTTTTCAGCAATATGTTACCAGAAGGCATAATAAATATAGCCAGCTATCCAAGTTGCTACTGCCATCAAAGCCATTTTACCAGATATTTCTTTTAAAAGTTAGCGTTAAAGGTTCGGCTCGTTTAAGGGCTCAAAAGCGTCAGAAATGTCTCCAATTAAAATAGAAAAACTTGGCAGCAAAACGCCAGTTGCCACTGCTGAAAATGTGCCAATGAAAATCATGATTTTATCTGATTTGCTAGCATACTAAAAAAATTTTCTTATAGGCAATGATTTTATTGATTCTGGTTTTCTATTTTCGTTTTTATTATTCGTGTTTTGCATGAATATTTTGTTTATAAGTTTTAAAGTATAGTCAATTAATTTATCTTATTTACCTAAATGGGAATATTCAAAGTAATTAAAAGAACCCTAATAAAGAATTTAATTTTTATTTTAGAGTGTTGTTTAATGCTAACTTAATCGCATTTAAAAATCTTCACGGGGTTTTGGGGTTTTGGGGTTTTGGGG